TGAATCCTCTTTTAATTTTTTAATTTTTTTTTTCTTATTTTGGTAGGGCTAAATTCAGATAAAAGATCGGATAAAGGTACACCGCTTGAAAGAATTTATTTTTGATTTACCTTAAAGAGGAAAAAAAATTGTGAAATAATAATAATAATAATAATAGTAACTATAATAATGAAAAGGAAGAACCCTAACCATTATAAATGAACGGATCGGTGCACTAAGACTCTCGTTATTTTTATAATTAGAGAAAAAAAGTCGAGTTATAATAATTGTGTTAAAACTTTCAACAGTTAAATTACGTTTTCGATATATGTGAAATATAGAAGAAAGTCGAACTATGAGGATTTTATGTTCTCGATATTTATGAAATTTAGAAGGGAATCGAACTACGAAAATGTTACTTTTATCTCGTAAAAAATGATAAAATTAGATAAAAATAATATATTAAATTTTCTATGTTCTATATAATCTATGGGCAAATTTCCACCTTGAAACTCTACGCGTGTTTGAACGTGCCCAATTTCTTTAGGGAAACGTTTTGTATTTAATTTATTTGTTTACTTTTTATATTTATATAAATAAAAATAATATAATTCATGTAATAAAAAAAAAAGAGTTTGTTATTCAAAGTACTAAGAAGGATTTGGTTGAGAATTTAATTGAGTATTAACTTACTTTCTGATTTTATTAGCGAAATTTTTATTTTTTTATGAGCAAAAATAGTAATAATATACTCGGTATAATTTTATAAAGAGAGTTTAAAATGGTATGATATACCTAGAAGTTATCGAAAGAAATGATACTTTTAACGTGTTTTTAACGAAATTAATATTTTAAAAGGCGTTTAGTAAAATTTAAATAAATTATTTAAAATGGAAAAAAAAATTAGAGAATTATTCTTACCGATGATTATTGACATGAATTTTGAGGGGTAGAGAGATGAGTTTGCTTTATTGGAAGTGGAACCTTTGGTTATAAGTTTTATAAAAAGCATATAATATATGCATTATATGTGGATACATATTCTTTATTTATAAAATATCTTAAGGAAGTGGGCAATATTTTCCTTAATTTAATAGGATAATGAAAAGTTTTTTATAGGATACTTTTTGCAAAGTCAAAATTGGTTATGGGCTTAAGGTTAAGCCCAATTGAATTAGGATTTGGTACTTGAGTTTGCTTTGAACATGAAAATAAATTGGATCGGTTTTTAGGGTTCGTTTGGTAGAGTATATTTGTAAATATGATACTGAGTAAATGTGATGCTTCTTTTGTTTTAATTTATGTAGCATTTTTTATTTTTTGAGAATCAAATAGTTTAAGTTTGAACAGGAATTTCCGTGTGAAATTTTTGTGTTTTTTTATATGAAATTTATATATTTGTAAACTGCATAAAAGGTATTATAAATCACAATAAATGACAAAGATATATGAAAAATGCACCAATCAAAGATAGACTTATTTAAATTTTGAATTCGAAAAGTGTCTCTTAAGGTGGGACGGATGGAGTAGATGTATTAGTTTTGTATATTAATAATATATTGTTTGGTATTTATGTTATTTATAATTAAAGTAATCATTTGTTATGTACTTTTAGTATCGTTTTGATCGAGTGTATGAGTATAATGTTAATGAATTACATTAGTAATACTTGTATTAGTACTGCTTGCATTAATAATGCATGTATTATTATGCTTGTATTAATTATAGATAGATTATTTTTATGCATTGATTCGTTTGATGTATTAAAAATAACATACATTGAATAAAAAAAATTTTACTAATACCTAGAAATTCATGGTATTAATAATTACACTTGAATACACACGTTGATACATAATAAAGTGTATAATGAATGCTTCATAGCATGAAAAAGAAAAAAAAATAATTATCTGGAAGGAGATTTATTTATGTTTAATGAAAACAATTTTTTTGCAATGACAATAAAATTAAAAATTCTTTACCAACATGTTTTATAACCAAATTTTGTACTCCAATAATTTTATTGATGGAAATTGTCGATTTTTTTAGAAATTGAAATTTATTTAAAAGGATAGATTTGCACGTTTATCTTTTTATATTTTGAAATAGATCATTTTGTTATTCTGTTCGTTTTATTTCACTTGTAGAAATTTGTGTGACAGAATTAAATTTCTTATTTTTCTCTTGTATGAAAAATAAAATTAAAAAAAAATACGTAGTTTTGAATTCTTAATTCTTAAAGAAGGGAATATGATATATTCAAGTCATTAGTAACAATAACATGCTTCATTTTATTTCCATTAAATAAATCAGACTTATATCTCTTTTTTTTCTCATTAATTTTATTTTGAATCGTTGAGGTTAACATTCTTTTCACAAGTGTAATCATAGCAAAAAACAGTGAAGAGAGAAAAAATTTGGAAATTTCACATAAACATAAATTTTGTTAATATAAATTGTAAAAATTGTTTATATATATATAACAAAGAGAGACCAAATCTGATAATTTTTTGAAATAAAGGAGTAAAACTGATATATTTATAGTTAAGAAATTAGAATTGATAAATGTACAGCTAAGAGACCAGATGTGTTTTGAATAGTTAAAGGATTCAATTGAGAGAAGTATTAATAAAACTCATGAACTTGTCGCGCATTATTTGTTTCATCCCCAAACTATTGATAGAATTAAATTACCTTTATACTCGACGAACTAAATTTGATAGTTGCTACGTTTATGCAGTTTTAAGTTATTTCATGCACAAAACTATTGAAAATAGGTCATTATAGTCCAATTTAGTTACATTTTTTTTAATTTTTCTGCAATTCTATGCAATTTCATTGGCAGGGCGGTACGTTTTGCTCTCTGGTGATCCCTACTCTAATCAAAAGACTAAAGGCAATGTAATCACTGATTATTAACATGAAAATAGAATCATATTTTTGTGTGCAATATTTGCTCAATTTTGTTCATTACTTCGCATTTCACTATAACTCGAATAATATAATGACAGCAACACAATTACAATGAGACGATGGGTGACGAGAGAGAAATTGAATTAGAGTGTTTGTTAAAAGTGTTTATATAAAAAGTAGATAGAGACTGAACTTGACAATATTTCGAATAGTTTAAGGACTAAATCCATCAAATATATAACATAGAGACTATTTTAAATCAACTGATCATACAATATTATTTTCTCTTTTATTTTCATCGAACTATTTAATCCATTTCCCCTACTTTTGAGAATTTACTCAATTCCCAAAATCAACGATATAGCGATGGAGAAACCTTGTTGCAATGTCAATTGTATCTTCCATGTCAGAGTGGCCAGCGAGTAAGTAGAATTCTAATTGTTTTCGTTCTAACTTATCGTCTCATAATATATGATATTGTATCGTTTCGATGAATATAATGTTTGAACAAAAACTATATTGCTTCTCGTCGATGTATAATGACACACCTTACTATTTTGAAGGGTTGAGTGACCATAAAAACAAATAATACTATTTAAACTAACAACACAGTATAATAGGTAACAAACATATTAGTATTTGATAGTTTTATGCCATCAATTATTGAACTGGATACTACCTTGTTAGAGAATTTGGACATTGTAAATTTGGTCATATCAATCCAACAATATTTTAATTTTAAATTTTAGGAGGAACTAAATTTTCGTTATATTAATCTAGTGTAAATTGTATCATTTTTCGTCATATCAACCCAACAATATTTTAATTTTAAATTTTAGGAGAAACTAGATTTTCGTTATATTAATCTAGTGTAAATTGTATCATTTTTCGTCACTACGTACACAAACACACCCACATGTGTATTGTTGGCAAGTGCTTTTAGCTAGCAAATTTTGAATCATTTTATTCTTGTGTTAATGACATATTTAGTCATAGATGCCCCAATACTATGTAAAGAAACAGTTTAAATATACTCTTTCTTGACTAGCCATACAAAATCTAAACACTTGTTGCAGCAAATTATTAAATATGGCTGCTAAAGAAGACATAGTGATAACATGGAATATTAAATATTTCGAAAGTAAAGTTAAGATAAATAATGGGCAACTTTCACGTATGACAAATAAAAAATTCATATTTGTATACTATAAGAAAGTTTGCATAATTGTGCTCCATAGCAAATATATAACTGTGTAATTCGCTATACATATATAATTGTATGATTCGCTGACCTAAATAATATAATTCGCTGGCCTCGCTATACATATACAGTTGTATGATTTGTTGGCCTAAGTTGTATAGTTCGCTGGCCTATTTCGCTGCAATTGTATAATTCGCTGGCCTATTTCGCTGCAATATCTGTATAAAATTTGCTTTGCATACAATTGAATCAAAGTAAAATGTTTGTATATTGTATAACTATAAGTGTATCGGAAGAAGATATATGTTTTTCTCTCGCTTTATACAAAAACAGAATCACAATTTGTACACTTCTTTTGTATAAAGCGAGAGAAAATTGTATTTCACTAGAATTGTATAATTCACAATTATATAATTCGCTGGTCTTTTTCGCTGCAATATTTGTATAAAATTTGCATTTGTATACAATTGAATCGAAGTAAAATGTTTGTAAATTTCCATAATTAAGTGTATATCACGAAAATATATGTTTTTGCATATGTATATACAATTTTCTCTCGCTTTATACAATACAGAAACAAAATTTATACACTTCTTTTGTATAAAGCGAGAGAAGCGAGCAGAGAGAGACTGGCGAGCGAGAATGGGAGAGTGGCGAGCGAGAGTTTAGGGAGAGAGGCGACTGACAAACGTTTGCTATTGGACACAATTAAATCAAACAGTAGCTACTCAATTTATTTTAAATTATTAATTTGCTATTACATACAATTATCGCATAAATAATTAAGTCCTTTATTAGTGAAATTTGTAGTATATAAGATAATTTCGAAAACTAAAGTAAAGACAAGTAATTAGATCCTAAACTAGTTTTGCGCTTTAGCCCATTTATCCGGAATATATATTCAGACATATTTGCTTCTAGATTTTCTTTCACCCGTATTTGATCGCTCTCCGTTTTTCCGAATTTTTCAATCACAAGAATTCTCAAATCCCTAATTTAGCGATCGTAAAATCTCAATTCACCGGCGTTACGATGTCATCGATGCCTTCAACGTCGGCGGCAGCTACTTCATCGTCGTCGCAATTCACCTACTCGAATGGCACCTACTTTCCGACGCCTTTTCATCTCCAACAACATCCTCCTCAGCCCTACATAGGTGCTGCTCCTCCGCCCGTTCAACTTCCTGTTCCTTCCGTCTATCCTGCTCCTGCTGTTATTCCTGGCGTTTACACTTTGCCTCAGTTTCAACAAGTAAGTATTTCAAATATCAGCAAACATTGATGACCTAAAAAAGGGACAATAAACGGAAGTTATAAACACTTATATCTGAATTTCGCTCTCGTGAAAATTTGAAATTGGTTGTCAATCCTTGAGTTTTGGTTGCGTTAGAGTCAGGCTAATATCCATAGAAAGTTTACTTTATGTTAAGTTTGCGTGGGACAGGGTAATCATGAAACCTTGGCCGATATATCTGGCGGCTCGTATTGTTTGTTGACCATAATTTATGAATTCAGTTATCATAGGGAGCATATGTTGAATATCTATAAAAAAACATTTTATGCTTGTTTCTTTCTCTTGTTTGAGACAAGTCGTGAATCTAGGATATTGTGGTCTTTTACAGTGAAAGAAGTTGGGACGAGGTTGTAAATAATAGATTACCTAGAGAAATCGGTTAAAGAAATTTCCACCCAAGATTTGCATTTTTTCTATCTAAACAAGTTGATTACATGTATTTATAAATTTTAGAAATTAGAATTTGGCTGTAGTTTTGTAATATTTCCTGTGAAATTGTTGAGATAATTTCTTTTCAGAAATTAAATAAGGGTGTTGTCCAGACCAGCTTGCTTGTTGAGATCATTTTTGCTTCCTGTGTGTGCGAGTAAGTGCTTGATAAGATATCATGACAGCCAATTATAAGCTTGTTAGTTTCCTCTAGGAGGGGAACAGACGACAATTTCTGTAGAAGTATTTGCAGATGGCCTTTGTAAATAACTAGCTTTCATGGTAAGCAAGCAAGCTTGTTTTGGAAAAAAGAAGGTACCTTTTGTCATGTTTGTAAAATATGTATTCTTGTGGACAGGCTCAACAGTTATTCCAAAGAGACGCACAAACAATTACACCTGAAGCACTTGAAAATGTGAAAGCTGCACTTGCGAGCTGTGAAATTGAGCACAAAGCTGAGGCCAAGAAGAAAGCTGTACCGCGTAAGGCAGCAGGACATAGTTGGGAAGATCCTACTCTGGCAGAGTGGCCCGAGAGTAAGCCTAATTTCATTTTTCTTTTTCTTTCCTCGTCTGTCTGTGCATCACGCTTTTCATGTCTATTTATTATTCTGTTTTTTTTGGGATTACTCTAGTTCTCTCTCCTTATTGTCTTCGAAGTTTTGGGCATCAATTGAAAAGGGTACTTGTGTAATACCTTGTGCTGAAGGGTTTGGCATTAAAAATTTGGTTCAAAGTGATCCGACAGTCGTACAATTTTGGAATTTTAGGAAGAATTCAAAGATTTCAGATCTATTAGCCTAGGGTGAAGTGCTAAACTCGCTTGTCTGGATGATGTATGCTTGAAAATACACTATATGAATTTGTGTAGTTAAGTTGTGGGAGTTTTTGTCTTCTCTTTTTAATTTCTTATCTTTTTATAATCGTTCTTTTTTTTATTTTTTTGATATTTTAATATTATGCTTTGTTGGTCCACTTTCATGGATTATGGCCTGGTGCCGATAGTTTTTACTACCCAATTATCTACTTATCTTCACTAGTGATTCTCTTTGGCACTTCATCCTGTGATGGCTGTTTGCACTTATTTGTTCCTTTGTTGTTAGTATTGGTGCAAATCCTAGAGCAGCGGAATAACTAAGTTACCGTTCTGATGGTGTCACAGATGATTATCGTCTATTCTGTGGTGATCTGGGGAATGAGGTGAATGATGATGTCCTATCAAAAGCCTTTTCAAGGTTTCCAACTTTTAATATGGCTAAGGTATATGCCGTTTATATTTTCCAATAAGTTTACGTGTTTATGTTTCTGATTGTTATACATGAGTACCGTCATGAAGGGAGAGAAAATTCTTTCCATATGCTTATACAGCTACTGATAGTGTGGGTACATCGAAAGTGATGTGCATGCATTTAGTTTTGAGAGACTTCTCCTCAATTTTAACTGCGTTCTATTTCGACTTCAATAACTTTTTAGTAGTATCATTGTTGGATAAAAAATTGTATTCCTCAGGTTGTCACCGGTTCAGTAATCTCCTTCTCTTCTCCGGCATAGAATCTCACCACTGTCTCATTCCAAATTTGGGTAATGTGCCCTATTCCTTTTAATTAGATTCTCACTCTCTTTGGAATGCTATTTCCCCAACCCTTCAATAAAACTCTCGCCCAGTTTAGGTTATTTCGGAGTTCTGTCTCCTCTTCCGTCCTTATCCATCCTCTACATAATTCCCCTACTGCCTTAAAAAAGCACATGTGCAGAGGTAAACATACCAGTCTGATCCAGGTCTGTTTGATAACTGCTGTAGATTGGATAGCACCTACAGTTGGTGTCCACCATTGGAGTTGCAAGCTCTGTTTCTTCCACGACCAACTACATCTGAGTACATGTTCTGCAGCTTTCATGTAGGCGAACTCAAAAAGGAATCAGTTTTTCCCCATGTAATAGATGGTTCAGACCATGGGATTGGTTCCAGTTCAAATTAGCCCATCTATGAATTTTCTAGAGGGTCGGGATTTCAGACCCATTAGATGATTTCAGACCCATTAGTACCTGACCATAAAGGATCCTGCTCAAAGCCTCACAATGAGATAGTTTGGTGTAACCATCAATATGGATTATATCTCCATCTTGTTTTGTGGTTGCAGCATCTGACCCTCTGGAGGTCCATTTATTTCTCCAGACTGTTCAGCATAGGAATTTCCTTATAAATCAAAGTGGGGTTTTTGTTGGTTATCCTCGTGGCTCTACAATAGATGAACCTATCTATTTGTTAGCCAAATCTCACCAACCTACATCGAATGCTGTTTCTGGAATAACTTATACTGCTCTGTCTTTTCCTTATACGCTGATTATACTTACATATCGCCCCCTATTGTTGAAATTCCTTGCACGGAAAAGCCGGGTAGATAGTTCCTGAGTTCCAGTCATTTCCATCTGCAAACAGTATTGACTTTGACTTTTGAAGCTTCTTTGAGAGTTCTGCACAGCCATTCTATTGTGTTCTGACTAAAACTTGACCTGCTCATCTTTTTTCTTCCACATTCAGTCCAGTCCTACCAGCTTTCTCCGCGAGAGAAGCTTCCCGAGTTGTCAAAGGATTTGAATCCCAACGCAAAATAGATTATGTTGTTTTCCATGAAGTGAGTGAAGGAGAGAGAAAGAAGGGGTTGAATGTTAACCCTCAACCCTTTTTTTTCTCAGTTTCAAAAAAAAAAGGGGGGGGGGGTGTTGATGATTAACATGTAAGGTGTTAACTGAAGTATAGGAAACAAAATTTTACGGTGCCAAGGCCACAGGAAAGGGTGGTTCTTCCCTCTTAGGAAGTAGGAGATAGATGTAACTTGGTATTCGTTTCTGGGAGCATTTTTTACACAATTTTTTCTTCTCTGTTTCGTAATACATCAATTTTTTTCAAGAACAGCCTTTTGAAGATAATGATAATGTGATCTAGATTTGCATCTTCCTATTTAGCTGTGGATTAAGTGTTCCTATCCATCATGATTTCTGTGCCTATGACTGTTACATTCTATGAGAAGTATTATATTTTATATTCTTTCTCGCTTTCGTGAAACTTTATTGCATAGTTGTATGCTGTAGCTTACAAGGTTCAGTAATAAAGGGTGTCTAACATGGATATTGACAGGTTGTAAGAGACAAGCGGACTGGTAAGACCAGGGGATATGGATTTGTGAGTTTTTCCAATCCATTGGATCTTGCTGCGGCACTTAAAAAAATGAATGGCAAGTTATCTGTTATTCATTATATGTGTAGTGTCTTAGTCTCTTTTTATATAGTTTCTTGGTTCCCCTTTTCTTTGATATCTTTATGTCAACTGATTTAGTTTCATAGTAAGTGTACCCTCTATTGAGACAATGGTTTTGTATTTGAACACTCCCTCGCCCCCTCCCCTCCCCTCTCCTCTCTCCACAAAAGAAGGAATAGGTGGAGGAAATAAGTAACAGAACTCTGTACTGAGGACACTATTTCGGACTGCTTATGAAATCAGTTTAGGTAAAGAAAAGATTAGTGAGGAAAATAACAACATCAACAAACTTGTATGAGAGAATTTCGGAAGTCTGTCTCTTTTTGGAGTTTGTGAAGTGGGAAGTTCATTAATGTCTTAAGTGGCAGTTGTTTTAGTTATTGAATTGGTATAATATTATACCTAAATGCCTACTAATGATGTGGAGAAATTCATGCTATTTTCAGGAAAGTATGTTGGTAACCGGCCTATTAAACTTTGCAAGAGCAAGTGGCAAGAGAGAATTGACCATGAGGCTGTGGAAAGTCACAAGGTGAGGTTTCTCCCGCGGTGATTGTGCTACTTATATTATATTACATCATGACAGTCGCATTAACTGACTATTTTTTTTTGGTTGAATGTGTTGGATCTTGTGACAGAACCGATCACATAAGAAACCAAAGCAAGCAAAGAAGGGTATATTTCACAAGTGAGCATACACCAGCCATGATAAGGACTCAAGCAGCAAGATACTTGAAATGTGTATTAATCAATTTCTTTACCAGTCCCTGCCTGGGAAAGAAGGATCAAAGTATAGTCCCAGGATGCTGAGAGGCGATTTCGATGTCTGCAATTTGTTATTTTCACAATGGTATAATATCCATAAGTTGCTGGTTGATGTCTTTCTTCCTCAAGAACTCTGGATGATCCTTTTAACAAACCATACATTGATAGATTGGGAGAAACTAATTTGGTTTCATACTAACGTTGATAATGTATATGTTGGATATTAAACCTAATGTGGGTGTACCAAAGATGATTTAAGTTCATATTTAGATAGTGGTTCCATTACATACGTTTTGTTTTTTCATTAATAGGGTCGCGGATTAAATTGTATTATAATATGAGAGAGAAAAATACCATTTACTTTGCTGCTAAACTATGTAAACATCATACAGGATCTTTTGGTTACGTTTTTTAAGAAACTAAAAATTTCTTATTTCAAAACTGAATTCCTTTAGCATGAATGGACTCTGTTACCTTGGTTTTTGGTAGATTTATATTGGAAAATTACACAAGTTAAAGGATATCATGATTTTGGTATTTTTAGATACATATATCTTGAAAACATTGAGGCACCTCTTGCCTCTCTTCTATCTCTCTCACTGCATACGAATCTCTCGTTTCTCATATTCCAAGTTGGATGCATGTATCAAAGTTACTAAATACAATACATTTGATATCAATACATTTTGAAATACAAAACAAAGACAGAGAGGAGCGAGCAAGAGTCAATATGTAACTTTTGATATTAGATGCATGGATCTTTTTAATGCTAGATACATAAGAAGAGAGACAAGCGTCATATGAGAGAGGCAAACGAGAAAGTGAATGCATATTATACAAATGCGAATGAAAGCTCGGATATAGTGCAATGTGGAATAAATTGCACTTTCATGTATCCATGGCACACGTATGATATATCTAAGTGAGACGAATACATCTGTCTTGCAAAGTAAATATGAATTTCGAAAGCTAAAGTAAAGATAAATAATTAAGTCCTTAATTAAGTGAAATTTGTAGTTCTATTTTCTCACTAGCAAGAGGAGCGTTATCGATAATTTTTTTTAACTATAAGGTGCACTAAATCCGACGAAATGAAATAAAATACCTTGAAATCCTTATTTACAGCAATTCACTTTTTTTCCATTTAACTTCTTCTTTTTCGAGTTGAACACCTTCATGCTCCTTCACCGGAATAGAGGCAAAGAACAAGTATCTTTTTTCAAGGATTGTTGGGAAATCATTTTAGCCCCTAAAATTACTTTATCATAATATTTGAGAAATTTTCACATATGGCCACTTAAAATAGCCTAATTACTCTCTATAACTATAGTTTGATAAATACAATTCATAAGCTACATGTTATAGAAATAAGAGAGGCGAACGAGACTGGAGAGAGGGAAAAAATGGAGAGTTGGATTGTAAATGTATATCGGTTATATAAATTATACATATGTATTTCTATATATGACAAGCGAGATTGAGAGATGGAGGAGAGAGACGATCGATATTGGGAGAGAGGTGAGCGAGAGATGGCAAAGAGTGAGAGAGAGGTGAATTGTATATGTATATAGGTTAGATAATTGTATATTATTACATATGCATTTATATAAAATGGCAAGCGATAATGGGAGAGAGGAGAGAGGCGAGCGAGATTGGAAGAGGGATAGAGGTGAGTGCGAGAGGACATATAGTGGGAGAGAGATGATTTATATATGTATATTGATCAGATAATTGTAAATTATACATATGTATTTGTATATTCTGACGAATTATACATATACAAATGTGGATAATTATACAAACTCGGAGTCAGCTAGGGGTGGGCATAGATACCGAAAAATTGAACCGAATAAAAAAAATTTGGTTCTTCCGTGTTTCGGTTCGGTGTCAATTTTCTTTTTTCAGAATTTTTGTTCTTCGATTTGGAGTTCGGTGCAAGGGTTTCGAAATTACAGTGCACTAAAGTTGAAGTTTTATTTACTAAATTTAAAAATATTTAAATTATATTTCTTAATTAATTATAATTACACTTTTGAATTTTTACTCAAAATATTTACATGGCCCATTTAAATATTCAATTTTTAAATGACAACAAATACAATGTCAATAAAGTGTTGAGCTATTGTTGTTTATGTACAATTGTACATTGTGAGTCCTTATATTTTGGTTGTTCGAAAATTCATCGTGGCATCCTGCTTGCTAGGCTGCTTGCTCTCTTCTTTATTCATTCAACATTCCGATATGGGAGAAAGCGGTTAGGCTTTAGCAACATGGCAACCATCTATGCGAAAAAACAGAAACAAATCCTTTGGCATCTTTGCTAAAAAATCATCTAAGCCCTCTTTATTTTTATTAAATATACGATGAAACTCTTAACACTTTATCATATTCCATCTTTATTTTTATTCACACCGAAAAATCGATTTTAAAACACCGAACTAAACCGAACTGATCTAGTTTGGTATAAACTATGGTGAACACTTTTCTAAAATCAAATACCGAAGAACCGAATCAAAATATGATTAAACCAAACCGAAGAACCGAACGTCCATCCCTAGAGTCAGCCCACATAATTAATGTGCAATGTTAATCGTGAATAGTAATGATAACAAACAATAGCTATGATGAGTAATTAAGTAGTATAAGTTAGCTTAACCGCATAGTTTTTTCTAACTATGTTTTTGATAGGCTAAAACCCATTTGAATTATAATTATTTTTATTAATGACTAATATGTCCTTGCTTGAACATGAAATATTATATTCTTAACACTTAAGTATTTGTAAACCAAAATAGGTGTGGATACTGGATTGTTCAGGTTTGCTTGTTAACAAATAGACATGAGCTTTCTTCATAAATTAGGTTGTTTTTTTTTCTTCAAATTATTGAGTCAATACTTCAAGAACGATGAAGATCGAGACCATCGTATTGAAAATCAAACTTAGAGCCCTTAAATTCTAATAGAAGTCAAGATAAAATATAGTTGACTCAACAAAATTATTTGTGCCATATTAACATAAAATAAAAAAGAGGAAGTAACGGTTAGTTTTATGGCTCACTCACATTAATATTATTTTTATTTAATAATTAATTACTTACTAAATTTTAATTGAATAAGTGTGAGAAGTTTATTATGATTATATCTCTCCACTATCTCAGGATCTACTTTGATGGAAAGTGGTAATTAACTGCTTGGTCCTCTCTCTGCCTATTAAAAGGGAATGACCTATATCGTGAAACGCATAATGTAAAGAGAGAGAAAATAAAACGTAATTCTTGATTTTAAGATCAGAAAAATAATAAAGTGCTTCCGCTAATTTTTCTGTATGTTGATTGTTATAGAATTGCACGTGAAAATCATTAAGTTCTACGATTATGAAATCTTAATAGATTTATCTTAACATGCATTATTCGTCAAAGTAAAAAGAAATTATTAGTTACAATAATTAATAAATTGTGTTGAATAGGAAACATGTGCCTAGTTTATAACTATTAAGTTAGCCTTAATTAAGTGATTAGGATCTTTGCTAATTAACTAACTGACTTCTTTAGCTATATATACAGACTTCAAGTCAAAAAAATTAAAATCA